AGAAAAGATAATGAAGCAGGTAATTAAGAAATTCATCTGCTAACATCTGGAAGAAAATAAGGAGATAGGTAATAAGGTGATCATGGATTTGTAAAGAATGGATCATGTCAAACCAATCTGATAGCTTTCTTCGATAGGATAACAAGTCTTGTGAATAAGGGAGGAGTGGAGGATGTATTATGCCTAGACTTTAGTAAGGCATTTGATACAGTCTCGCATGACCTTCTTATCAATAAACTAGGGAAATACAACATAAATGGGGTGACTATAGGATGGGTGCATAACTGACTGGATAGAGAGTAGTTATTAATGGTTCAAAGTCATGCTGGAAGGGCATAACAAGTGGGGTTCTTCAGGGGTCTGTTTTGGGACCGGTTCTGTTCAATATCTTCATCTTTTAGATGATGGCATAGAGAGTCCGATTATTATATTTCCAGATGATACCAAGCTAGGAGGGGTGCAAGTGCTTTAGGGGATAGGGTCATAATTCAAAATGATCTGGACAGACTGGAGAAATGGTCTGAGGTAAATAGGATGAAATTTAATAAGGACAAATGCAAAGTACTCCACTTAAGAAAGAACCGTCTGTTTCACGCACACAATGGGATATGACTGTCTAGGAAGGAGTATGGCAGAAAGGGATGTAGGGATCATAGTGCACCATGAGCTAAATATGAATCAACAGTGAGACATGACACAGTTGCAAAAAAGGAGAGAAAATGTGATTCTGAGATGTATTAACAGGAGTGTTGTGATCAAGATGCAAAAAGTCATTCTTCCACTCTACTCTTCACTGATTAGGCCTCAAATAGAGTATTGTGTTCAGTTCTGAGCTCTACATTTCAAGAAAGATGTGGAGAAATTGGAGAAAGTCCAGAGAAGAGCAACAAAAATGATTAAAGGTCTAGAAAACATGAGCTATGAAGCAAGACTGATAGATTTATGCTTGCTAAGTTTGGAAAAGAGAAGACAGAGGGGACATGATAGCCATTTCCAGGTATCTACAAGGATGTCACAGAAATGAGGGAGGAAAATTGTTCTTCTTAGCTTCTGAGGATAGGACAAGAACCGATGGGCTTAAATTGTACAAGGGAGGCTTAGGTTGGACATTAGGAAAAACTTCCTGTCAGGATGGTTAAACAATGGAATGAGTTGTCTGGGGAGATTGTGGAATCTCCATCACTGGAGATGTTTAAGGGCAAATTAGATAGACACCTGTCAGAGGTGATATGTCATGAGGGCAGAGGACTGGGCTTGATGATCTTTCAAGGTCCCTTCCAGTTCTAGTGTTCTATGTACCTGTATTTACTTTTAAAAGGTTTAAAGTACACACATCTACCTCTGGCTATGTCTACACTACAGGGTTTTCGAGCAAAAACACATGGAGTGTCCACACCTAAAGCACATTTTTGCACAAGTAAATTTACAGTAAATCAAAAGAACAGAAGGGTTTTTGTGGTGTGGATATTCCTCTTTCTACATGGAATAACTGCTTTTTTTTTTTGCTCAAGAGTTCTTGCTCAAAAAGGTGTGTGTGAATGGGCAACAAGAGGTTTTGCACAAAAAGAAACAAGCACAGGTGCTCTGGTGGCTATTCTGTGAATAGCAATCAGAGCTTTCTTTCAAGAGAGTGTCCATGCAGTCTGGATGCTCTCTTGTGCAAAAGCACATCACTTTTGCAATGTACTTTTGTAGTGTGGATGTGCAAAAAGCTTCTTGTGCAAGAAGCCTGCAGTGTAGATGTAGACTCTATGTCCTGAAGCTCCAGAGCTTTCTACTCCCTCCTTTGTTGGGGGAACCAAAGAACATTTCATTTGAATAGTCTATTTACACACAATTCTGCCAGTGACATTTGGTGAATCACCATATTTTATATGAACTTGCATTTCAGGCCTCCCAGGGAAACTCAAGGAGTCAAAGGAGCTCTTACTTAGGGTAGAAAGCCTTGGCAGCCTCAGACCTTCTGGACTACAGTGAACTAAACTGTGAGTGAGCCTCAGTGGATGAGTAAGATGATGCAGTCAAGGGACTATTGCATCTGGGATTTCTGACCAGCAGGTGGAAGTGGAGGTAGAAGTACCATGTAGGAGGCATTTTACTTTTTATTTCCTTTAACAGGGTTCACTTTCTGCAAGAACACCTTTACTAGGCCAGGCCTGGCATAGGAGCTTTCTTCTCCTATGGCATCCCTTATCAATTGTCACCTCATCACTGCGGTTGTTTCTCTACCTGTAATTCACAGTGGTCTCTCTTTATGTAACCCCCCCATCTCCCTGAGCATCCAAATCTTGCTGGACCAGCTCTCCAGATAGAACCTCTAGGGTCCTAAAACCACATCTTAGAAGCTGGTGGGGACTCCATCCAAGCTCTCTCTCTAAACTGGGTTCCAGCACAGGGACCCACTAACTAGCAGTCAAGGCTACTTCCTTACTACACAATCTACTTCCTTACTATATTTCCCCTGGGGTTGTTCATACACTTTCTTCTCATGCTCTCCCCCAGTTGTCCCATCTTCCAGGATACTCTCGCATTCCTGGTTTTTCTCAACCCCCACCGCTCTGTGTTGAGAACAGTTATAGCTCTCATTCCAGACCCTTGTTGCTACAAGTTTCTGCTTTCTATATACCTCTAAGCCCCCACTTCTCCCCCAGCTGAGTTTCATCAGCAATTAGTCTTTATTAATCCCTGGATCAGGCATCCAGTGCAGCAGTGAAGATTAATTAGAGCCCCATCTGGGACACCTTAACTCCCACAGGGCCATGTAGGGTGAACACCTGAGCACATTTGCAAATATATTTTGTAATTTTTCCCCCTCTCAAGCCTGT